AAGCCGAAGAACTACGATTGCTTTTTTCTTCCGCTTCTGCTTCCACCTCCTCTAGTACAGTAGGAAGCTTTAGCTGAAACACTCAACCAAACACATGCCAAGCAAACTGTTGAATGAAAACGCTTGGTCTAGATAAAACTTCGGAAACAATTTAAATGTTGGGTTAAGAGAGACGGTTTAACGATCAAACATGCTCCCCTAACAATTTCTTCAAACCGAATGAAGCTGGGCTAAAATCTTTGATTGTTTAGCCAAGGCTGAACTGTCACAGGAAAAATCGCCATGATAACTGAACTTGTATACGACCGACTGAATAATTAGCATTGCAATAGCGTACCTCTCTCTCTCGTCGTCTTCTACATTAAACATCTCCTGTGGCAGTTCCTCTGTGGCTTGAGGAACATGAGAAGCTTCGTGGTTACTGGATTCAGATAATTGGTTAAGTCGTTCCAATTGTTGCTAAGCGAATTTGAAATAATTAAAAGAAGTATTTATCAAAATAATGAATAACTCAAAACAAGAGAGAATGCTCAAAAGGATATACATGAAAACATTTGCACCGTTTTAATGGTTAACTCATTAGAGAGATTTAGAGCCACGTTTACGCCAAACGGCAAACGTATTAGTTTTACAAAAAAAGAAAATAAGCAGTTTCACGCCAGTTTTATCCCTAAGAATAATATTATTGTTAGGGACAGTTTTTATCTGCTTACTTTCTATTTTGAGAAAATCTCAAATTGAATCTGACGTTTGCCGTTTGCCTTAAAAAAAAAAAATTGGCCCCAGAGCCAGCCTTTCTTATGGTCAGCACCAAGACCAAGCGGTCTCTTGGAGAAAAAATTAGAGAACGACAGAGAAATATTCAACCTTCACTTTCTACTTTATTTTTCCTCGGTGACTCTTTTGTACTGTTTCTTTTTGTTGACCTTTGACTAAACTTCTGAGATCACGTAAAAAAAGTGCCAGAAATTTCATATTCAAATGCTCTGTTGTGTTATAGAGAGTAAATCAGAGGAGTTGAACAGTATGGATCGCCTGACTGCGATATAGACCAATAAAAATCACTAAAGGAAAGGACGACAATGGAAGGCAATTGATAATTTGCTAGTGGTGGCATTTAAGAAAAGGTTAAATTCAATCTTACATGATCCACCATAGATGAATGGTCCCTTGGTGGGTCTGGTACAGGTTTGGAGCTTGCGTGAGGTTGTTTGGGAGATGATACGGCTACAATAAAAACATTAAAAATACCTTACGGCATAAACAAGTAACTTTGTACTTTAAGAAGTTGAAAAGACCTGAGAAAAACTAAGTAATTCTACCCAATTCCAATTAATTTCTCTGCAAATGTTTGTGGGGATAAAAACTAAACCCGTCATATGACCAGCCTGTTACTACCAACACTCTTGTTTTTCTGGCCTAAACAAAAGTCCAGTCATACGCTTATTCTTCAAAGAACTTAATACTATACAATCACCCCATCAAAACGAACCATCAACTTTTTGAATCCACTTTCTTCACAATTTTACTGGCCTGGTGAAGATGACCAGCGGTGAGACTGATTTGCAAGTGAGAAAAGCAAAACATATGACTGAATATTTTGCTGTGAAGTTGATTGTTAACATACTACTTATTAACCGAGAGTGAGATCATTACAGGAAAATCTCAGACCGAGGCCTTGATGTATTGACCTGGTGAAAGTGAGGTCAACACATCAAGGCCGTTCTCTGAGATTTCCCTATAATGAATAAACAGACAAGGTTAATAAGTTATTATATGGCCTTTTCATTATGGACCTGGGCCTTCAATCAATTAAAACCAACAACTGGTCAGCGGATAACTTCGAAAAACACGTCACCTCAATGAGTTGTACACTTGAGCCTGCGATACAGTCAGGTGACACTGGTCAGCGAATACCCTTTTTGACAGCTGTCAATTGACCATAACATGGATGTCCATAAGGATGTACAGTACCAAATTAAACACAGATTGTATATGCCTTGGACATCTAGCTAGTAATGCCCAGCCATTACAAGAAAACAGCCAATCAGAGTGCACATACTATTGTAGCCATATAATAAAAGGATTTAGTATATACTAAAACAGTGGATAGTGTTTTTCGCGTGCTCTGATTGGCTACTCAATCAGTGAATATCCTGCACTATTTACTGATTCACCTCCAGGTTCTTCCAAGCAAGCGACGCCAAACTCGCATAAGTTGCGAGCAAAATGCCTTCCTGGTTTGCTACCGTAACAAACAAAGAAATTTCACAACTAATCAAGCAAGCTGTTCCTGAAATACATGAAGAAGGTGACGAAGTTCGGTTTGGAAGTTTTAACAGGTAAAGCTTTGTCTTTTTGACTCGAATTTATCGATAAAACCACGACAAAGTTTTTTGTTTACAAATGCAAATTAAGCTTAAGTCGTGCATTACTTTATTTAGTTGACTTGTTCATAAATAAGCCTAAAACTAAATTTAATAATCTTTTTTTTTACACAATGATTTTAAATACAAAAAAGAATTCACAACTCCTTGTGAAGAAATTTTCCCATAAAGAGCTAAACAAATGCCTTCAAAAGTTTTATTTGTCGGCAAGAAAAAGTGACAAAATTGTAATCGTTGGCAACAGTATTTGAGTTAAAAATCATCATTTTTGTGCTCAATTATCTCACTGTTTTAGTACATACTAAAACAATAATAAATAATTATTATTCCCCTCAGTGTTGGTGGCTAGTGGCGGATATTTACTTCACTGCTTCGCAGCTCAGTTAATATATCCACAACTAGCCATCTCCACTTCGGTGAATTATTGTTATATAACCTGAGTATCGGGCATTTCTGGGGGAAAAGGAGAATCTTCTCTCCCTAAACACTAAGGAAGGCGTCACCTGATGCTCAGGCTAACAAGGATAACAGTAGACAGCAAGCTATGTACTGTAGCAGCATAGACCCATGTGTAAGATTGAAAGCAAAAATGTCTCTTTCTCATTCCAAAAGAATGACTTCATAGACCACTGTTTACGTAACAGCTTAAACTACACCTATAAATTTCTCAAAATGTTTCTTTTCTTGCTGTATTAATAACTAATATCAACTGACCTTGTTTAGAGATGCGTACAACAGTTCTGTGAGCACCGCAGTATCCTGACTTGGATCTTTTACTGATTCTCTCCTGACACTGATTTCCCTAACACAGAAGTACAATGTAGACGTCAGTATAATATCAGACGCAGCGCACAGTAAGAGCACCTCAAGAAGACGTGGCACAACACAGCCTGTATTTTCTAAAGCTTCCAAATTGGCAAAGCGTTGCAATTTCTGGTTTCCCCCAATCATGCAAATAGTGAGTATTCCAGGCTTAAGTAGTGACGTTAAGATAGCTAACAACGTGTCCAATGAAGACGGAGTTCACCATGGAAGAGACAAACCATGATATGACAGAGAGAGACACCCAACGGATAGATAGATCTATGGGGAATTAACCTGAAAGAGGGTTTATAGACCAGGAGTACAAGACAAAATTAGGTAGCTATGTGTCAGTCCTTAAACCACATTTTAGAAAACAAGAGCAACTCAAGCTTTTCTTGATTACTGGTCTCTAAAAACAAGATATCAAGCAGAAGCCCTCAAAGAAAATATATTAGTTTCTTTGAATAAAACTATAAAAAGTAGAGTGAGCATGATCATCGGTGAGAACGCAGTCCTGAATTAAATAGGACTGTTGTCAATAGTGACTGACATTTCAACAACCTTTGTGGTAGTCATCTTCAGACACAAAGTGAGTTGTATCATCAGTCGATAGTATTATTAAAACTCTGGTTATTGACCTGTTTGGGTTTAAACCTTTCACACTATAAAAATAGTTATGTGTTGAACTGTGCGAGGTAAACAAAGATGCTCTACTTACATTATTCACATATTTACATTGAATTGAACTTTTCGTTTTGGATGCAGCTGTAGTTGATTCACCTCCCTAAAATTAAAGAAAACGAAATTAATGTTAGTCAACTGGCTACAATGGGGTAAACCAGTAAAACCTATATTTCTCAAGCTGGGTGGGGACTCCCATACAAAAGTGACAGGGATGCTTGTTGTCTCGCTTAGGGGTGCACGTGTAAATTGCAGATCTTGATCCCACTTAAGGTGATTGGGATGGTCACAATGTTTGCCAATTCAGGTATCTCTTAGGGCTGCGCAAAAAGAAATTTACAAAAAATGTTCTGATACCGACCACACAGAAATCTAATGTTTAAAATAGAACACAATAAAAACCACTCTAGCTCCTATTTAGATGTCTGTTTTAGTATGGTCTCCCTTAAGGGTCAGTTTAAGCTTGAGCTACAGCCACATTGGTCTCCATTATGGCCATTAAATTTTATTTTGCGAGGAGCATCCCCGTCACTATTATAGGGGAGTCATCACTTGGGCTCTCAAGAAAAGGTAAGATAATACCATTCAAAACGGCAACAATTGAAATAAAAGCTATTCAAAGGTACTCCCATTTTGCAATGCTAACTGTACATCTAGGCAGTGCAAGATTGGTCTAACATTTACCATTAGTCTGTGTAAGAAATCTTAAAATCTGATAATTATAAAATCAAAGCCTCTGTGCTTTGCATGAAAGATGATCATTGCAGTTATAGACACAGTTGCAAAAAGAAAGCCTGAAAAAAAATGCTAGCATGGGATTTGAACCCTTGACATCTACAATACCAGTGCAGTGCTATGCCAATTGAGTTATCAAGCCAACTGGGAACAGCTCATTGAGTTGGTTTGGTATAAACCCATGAAAGGATCTGACTATGAAATAATGAAAATGTGAAAATCATATAACTATAGGAATTGCAGGGTGAAGAACTTATTAAAGAATAATTCCTGCACCACTATTTATAAATTTGTACATTAGGTTGTGCCCACATCCAAATGGCTGTCTGTCTATGCTAATAACATGCTACAATGGTAGGTGCTTGACCTGGTCGGTTTATACCTTTGGAATTTGTGGATAAGTTACAGATATAATTAAGAATTAACTCACAGCACTGCTTGTTCCATCTGAAGAAGGATATGGAAATACCCCCATACTTTCAGATGGAAGTCCATGATTGATGGCTGCAGGTGCTTTCTTTGGCCTGCTAATTGAAAAGTAATATTTTAGGATATTGCAGACACTTAACTCTGCCCTTAAGTGTACCTATTTTAGTATTAACACTGCAACATAAGTAGCCCAACTGAAATTTAACCCTCAGTTTAGAGTTATGAAAGCCACAGCTTCTACATTTACCAGAACAATAACTGTTTAAATAATATTATTTAAACAGTTTTAAATTAACTGTCATGAACAGACGTTTAAAAGCCTACCTGCTAGATGGTGTAGGATTCTCTGCCATCAGGACCTACAATAAAATTTGAACAGAAAAACCATAATTGATAAAAATGATAATGATGAACAGGAAAGTTGTAAACAAACAAAATGGAAATCATCATGCACTACATTTTCCTATGTTAAGTGTTTTCTGTTCGCTTTTTCTTCAATCAATGGGCAAGTGAGGTACAAACTAAATCTCAACCAGACACTGGCATAGAGTTCTCAAACTGGAAAATTCTGCCTCATCCAACACCGCTGAGAAAAGCACAGTTGGCTTCAACTTGGATCATCATGAAACATCCTAGCTGATTTTATTATTATTATTTTTTATTTCAATAAAAGAAAAACTTAGCCCACTTCCTAATGATTATATTCAAGATGGGTTTGTTGCAAGGAATGACATCTGACCCTTTGGGTGCTTTCTTTGTTTAATTTGAAAGAATACTTGCAACTAGTTGAACACCACATGCCTTTGGTCCTTCATTGTCGCTGACCCCAGAGGAAGATGCTGTACCCTCGTCATCTAAAAACATTAAAAGAAGTATAAGTACAAAAGTATTGGATTTAGATTAAGATTTTCAACACGTAAACCACAGATAGCATGGCAAGGTTGACATAACTACCGGTAGTTAAGATTGTGCTGTTAGAGATAAACTATTGGGTTTGTCACTGCCAGAGATGACTTTTCATTGTCCCATTTTTCTTGCCAGCTCACTCTGGCCATTCCAACTTGCACAAGACAAGTCAGCCTGCTCATAGCTTACCCTGCATATACACTTAACAAGTTAAGCAAGTTTGTTTTTTAAGAAACTTGGTTGAAAATCACCATGTTTTTGTTGAGAGTGGTTACTAGATGGAGTGACCTGGAGGGTATGAAAAAAGCACCCAAAAACATGGAGATTGGGACCTCAGACATGGAGATTTTCAAAATATGATGTTTTGGCAATTTTTTTTTCTTCAGAGGCTAAGGCTTTAAATTCCCTGTGTCAGTTTGAGATTCCATTTCACAAGTATCCACATCCATAGGATGGCGAGTAGCCATTTTGAGGTTGCTTTTGAGTTTGCTTTATCTTAGCAATCCTATGTTTCATACAAATGGGGGTTGAAATTGGACCCAGGTTTCCCCCAGAATTAGATTTTCATTTCGTCCCTTATGAAGACAGATTTTTTGAAATGACACGATTTCTGCTGGAATTGTCAGGCAATTTCAAGATTTTAAGATTCACAGTGAGATTTGGCGGCTAAATTGTGAGACCGTGAGTTGACAGCCCAAACCATGAGTCTCACAGTCAAACCATGAAAGTTGGGTTTCTGAACTGGACAACACTCAGTTAAAGAAACAGATTTGTAAATGTTTTACCTGATGAGGAATGATCCACATTCTCATACTGAAGGAGTCTGTCTAGTAGAAAACTAGAGAAAAAGATTATAGATCAAAATTAATATTCCAACTTTAAATATTGACAGCAGCTGACCTGAACCCTTCATAGCCAAGAACAAAGACTGTATTAATTTAGTGATTGCCATTAATCTTTATCAAATTAATGTATATGAATGGTAAATCAGGGGCTCCAATCAGAATCAATAATTGCGACTAAGTGGTTTTAAGAACTTTAAGAAATGTTCTTTTTTGAAAGAAAACAAACGATTTAAGACTAACTCATTTCTTTTGTGTACCTTTTATCTCTAGAAACTCGAAGAAGTTTTTTCTGAACTCTTCTGAGCTCTTCTTGAAAATATTCTTGTTCCTGTGATAGTAAGCACATAATAACATTATTAATAAGTATTAAAAAACACTTCAGCAATTCAGCCGGGTATAATAATAAGTAGCAACTTTATGTATATTAGTGGTTGGTTGTAACTCAGAGGCCATACTGAGACAATTCAAAATTTGAATTTGCTGGCCAAACCAGACCATTTAATTCATAAATTAGAGAATTCCACTACTAATCAGAACTGTCGTCCATTCCATATTGGTATGCTTGGTAGCGATAGGTTTTACAACAGTAATTGTAAGCCTACTTTATGTTCAAAATATGATTACCGGTCCAGCCACCAAGTTTTGACTTTTAATAAGCACCCTTAGAAACTAACTTCTAATCATTCTGCTTAAAAGCATTTCAAATCAAGGAAGATTTTCAATGGTTCAACAGTTAAGGAACAGATTCAAGCAAAATAAATATGTTATTTCGTTCTTAGCTTTTAATGCCATGTGACTCACATAGAGCAAGAACTTCAGTTTCCTCTTCAGTGTCTTGTACTTGTCTCTGTAGTTAGGACTGTCTACACTATGACTGTTATTTTCTGATGAGATTGAAACATTAAAACATCAAATACCAATGATACGCAATAAAGTAGAGTTTAACTGACTTGAAATTGGTTAACCAGAACACCCTAATTTGTTGCCTGAATTTGACACATATCTTCATTCTATTCACATACTCCCTTAGAGACATTTGTCATCTTCCTGCTTGGACTTGGGCGTAATTTCAGCGATTTTCATTGGAGTTTTCTGGTCACTTCAACAGTTCTTTTTTAGTTTTCAGGATTTGCACAGGCTTTTTGATCTAAAAGACTTTTTCCACACTAAGCCCTAAGCACTTGTTGTAGCTTTCTTTGAAAACAAAATCCAGACTTTTCACCTTTTACCCAGACTTTCTCTTCAATTTTGCTTCGCAAATTTCAAGACTTTTCCAAGAATTCAGGACTCTGTACAAACCCTAAGTTTTTCTCTGTGATGTTTCAATGACTCATGTTCATTAATTTATTGTCTCAACCAACTCCCCACCCCCCTGCACAATTAAAAAGTCAAAGACCTTTATATTATTGAAACTGATGAGGTCACACAAAGGATGGAAGGGACGTGCATCCGGGAGGTTGAGGTGTGAGGGGATTAATAAGTTAGCATATTCCTAGGGTATTGATTTTACCTAAATTCTTTATGAGAAGCAACGACCAACCAATGAGATATTAATCTAGTTCGCATAGTGAGCTCTAAATTTCTCTATAATAATTTCATGTTAAAAAAGTAACCACGGCGAAAAGCATTGATTCTACATGTGATAAACCAAAGCTTAAATGAGTTCAGTAACAAAGCTGACTACTATCGATGGTTGTTTGATCATAATATAAGCAGAAAATCATAACTTAAAAAGTCAGAATTAAAAAAGCAATAATATTTAGGAAATAACTGACGAAAAACAATACGCGATTGATTGTAAAGACAAACTGGAATAAAACACCGACTACAAACCTGGCACAGGCATCATGGCGGCCAT